TTTTAATAATTTTAATGAACTTTTACAGAGATTTTAGGTTTCCATTCATTCATTGTTGCACTTTTCTCCCTGCCCAGCCCTCCCCACCGCCCCCCCCCAGTATAAGTTCTTGGGACTGAAGGATACTTGCACATTATTAAATCAAATTATAATGGTTATACAAAGTTCCATATTTTGGAATAAATTCTTTTTTATTTGCATTCTTCTTAAAGTTATATTTTTTCTAATTTTTTTGAAAATTAATTTAATGAACATTTACAGAGACTTTGGATTTCCATTCATTCATTGTTGCATTTTTCGGCCTGCACTCCCCTTCCCTCCCAATTTGCTCTTCTCTTTGAAAAGTAAAAGAATTCTTTCATTGGTATACAATTACCCCCTCCCCCTGCCCTGAGTATACTCACTCCACTATGCAACCTTCATTCTTGACTCTTGTCATAACCATAATACCCAATCATACATCACTTTTAAACTCTTCTCTCCCTCATCTTTTTCAATGCAGTATACAACACCCCAACCCTGATGTGTGTCCCGTTCTACAACAATGGCACTATGTTTTATTTGTCCTTTTGTGACTGAGATATTTCACTCAGCATAATGTCCTCAAGGGTCACCCATTTTTATCAATATTTCATGAGTTCCTCATTTTTCAATACAGTATAGTATTCCATTGTGTGAATATACAAGAGCTTCTCTATCCATTCATTTGTTGATGGGCACTTAAGTTGTTTCCAACTCTTTGCTATTGTGAACAAAGCCGCAGTAAACATGGGTGTGCATATATCTGCCTGTGTGGCAGTTATGGTTTCTTTAGGGTATATTCCAGGTAGTGGAATTGCTGGATCAAATGGTATTTCTATTTGCAACTTTTTGAGAAAGCACCATACCACCTTTCATAGTGGTTGCACCATTTTACACTCCTACCAACAGTGAATGAGTATTCCAGCTTCTCTGCAACCTTGCCAGCATTTGATGCTTGCTGCTCTGTTAAATTTTGTTATTCTTACTGGGGTGAGATGGAGAAAACTGTTTTTAAGAGGGAAAATTATTAGATATTTTTGTCATGACAGGAGTCCAGAGCGAAGGCTTTATAGTGGAGTGGACCTGGGGGGAGGGATTGTAAAACAATGATTGTATTTTTCTTTTACTTTTCCAAGTTAACTTTTTCCAGTTATTGTACAGCTCTCAGATGTAAAACAAGTAATTGCAAAGATTGTGACCTGGATCAGGTGCATCTTGGTCTTTAGAGGGACATTGTTGCTCTTTAGAACTATAGAGAGGTCCTTGACAGCACATTTTCCCAATGCAACTCATCTTTTCATTTCTTGACTGTTGATGCCAACAGTGTTGATTGTGGATCTGAGCAAGCTGAAATCATTAGCCTCAATCTTTTCTTCATCTGTCATGATGCTGCCTATTAGCCTGTTGGTGAGGATCTTTTTTTTTATGTTGAGCTTCAAACAATATTGAAGACTGCAATCCTTGACCTTCTGCAGCATAAACCTCAGATCCTTCTCAGTTTCAGTAAGCAAAGCTGTGTCATCTCCATAACACAGGTTGTTGATACCTCTTCCTCCAATCCTGATCCTACATTTTTCTTCATAAAGCCCTGCCTCCTGAATGATCTGTTCAGCTTGTAAATTTTTCCCCCCAATTCTTTCATAGCACTGTGAACTTCTTACTTTATTACCGCTAGTTCTTGATCATATGCTACTTCCTGAAATGGTTCTGTATCAAACAATTGTTTTTGGTACAGAAATTCTGTGTATTCCTTTCATCATCTTTTGATGCTTACTGGATCATTCACTATTTGCCCATAACATCTTTAAGTATTGCGGCTCCAGGCTCAGATTTATTCAGTTTCTTCAGCTTGAGAAATGCTGACCAAGTTCTTTTCTTTTGATTTTCTGACTCCACCTGTTTGTACATTTCCTTATAATATTTTACTTTGTCTTCACAAGCTGCCTTTTGAAATCTTCCACTCAACTCTTTAACTTCCCTGATTTCTTTTCTTAGTTTTGGCTTCTTGGCATTCTAATGCAATATTCAGAGTCTCTTCTGACATCCATTGCGGTCTTTTCTTCCTTCTGTTTTTGTAATGACTTTTTGCTTTCTTCATGGATGATATAATCTCTCAGCTCGTCTGGTCATTCATTAGTGTTCATTCCCTCAAATTTGTTCTTGAGATGGTTTTAAATACTTGCCTGGTAATACTCTTGCATTTAGAGGCAGAAGAATATATACATAAGATACATCTTTTTATAATTATAATTGTTATTTTTAGAATGAGATTATTTTAGCATCTGGCATAAATTGTTTCTTTTCTCCTTTTTCAAAGATTGACATAAATGCACTAATGCATAAACTGACCATTCTAGAGGAAGAGAATAAGCACCTATTAGATGAAATTGCTTGCACAGAGCATCAGCGAATGACTTCTGATTACCATGGGGTGGGTATAAAAAGGTCAGTCTAAATACAAATCAATGGGTAATAAACTTTAAGAAATTCAGAAGTGAAGAGATGGGGTTTATTTTAAAATATGTAAATCTTGAATCAGGCTAAATATAGCAGAGATTCCTACAGAGTTTAAGAACAAAGCACTTAAGAATGAAAAAGAATTTAAGGAAGCTATTCAACGTCTGCATGCATCAATGCTCTTTAGAGCTGAAAAGCATAAATATTCTAATGTACTTAAATATTTTCTTCTGTAATTATGAAGAATAAGTGTAATTATTTTTTCCTTACCAGACAGTTCCCTCCTTTAATTAGGCAGTCAGTACCTGGTGTGATATCTAAAAGAGATTTGACAAGACCAATGCAAGAAACAAAAACTGGGAGAGTTCTTTTAAACACCATTTACATGTGAAGGGGATTTGAAGTCATTATTGTTCTGTTTAACAGCAAGGTTTTCTGTGGGCTTTTGAAAACTTGGGGGAAAAATGCTTTTTTCCTCAATAAAATGCAAATAATGTTGAAAATTCCATAGAAATCCTTAATGTGAGCCTGACTTAATCTGAGCCCAATTCTTTCAAGCTTTGTCATATAAACTGCTCATCACTTCAACTCTAAAAGATTACAGAGACTAGATCTCAATCCTTTGCAATTTCTGTGGCTTTAAGGCAGATATCTAACTGTAACCTTTGGCATGATTCTCTGGGCCTCATTTTCTAATCTCTTGAAAATGGCCATATATTGGCAAATTTTGAAGTTTAATAAGGTAATATACATAAGGCAGGAAACAAATAGCTACTAACATTTGTAGAATTTTTAAAGGCCTCCTTCACACAGGTTAAGCAAATATAAACCAGAGATAATGAATTATGTCAATATAGGACGTTTACCAACATTTATGAACTTTGAGTTCAAGATTTACTACAAATGATTCATATTGTAGTTGTTGTTAGGTGCCATCAAGTTAACTCTGATATAATGACCCATCATTGTTGTTGTTGTTGTTGTTGTTGTGTGTCATCAAGGCAGAACCAACCAATAGCTGACCCTCCTGCGGCTTTTCGGAGGGAGTTAATTGCACGGGAGGAGATTGCCCATCCTTTTGCAGAGCGGCTTGTAGTCTTGAATGGCTTGCCTTCAGGATTGCAGCACAGCTTCCTGCCACTAGGCCACGAGAGCTCCCTAATGATCCTATGTACATATAAGAAATAAACCTCTGATAGATCCTGTGCCTGCTTCACAATCTCTGCTGGTTTAAGCCTTTCTTTGAAATCACTGTGCCAGTCTGTCTCATTGAGAGTCTTCCTCTCTTCCACTGACTCTCTACTTTACAGGCAGGATACCCTTTTCTAAGTATTGGCCCTCTTAACAACATGGCCAAAGTATTTGAGACTGAGTCCCAATCTTTACTTCTAAGGAGCATAGTGCAACTATTCAATTGATGGGGGATTGAGAGTTTATATTCCAAATCTTGTTTGATTATGTATTGATTTATTTCTTATCCCCACAGTTTATGCCAATAACGTTGGTATACAACAAACATCAGTACTTTCTGTTCTTAAAAGATAATAGTGAGATTGAATGTGAAAATGGCCATGTTTGATTACTAGCAGTGACTTTTATAATAAATACAAATGAAACTCAAATTTTAATAAGAAACTGTATTGTATGCTGATTTCCTCAACAAAGTATAACAAAAAATACAATGAAAAAATTATGATTATTAAAGGCTTTGTGAATGATAAGAAATTCAGTCATTATGCTGAGTGGTTGATAAAGCAATGAGTTTGAATACTAAAACCAATTTATTTTATTTTTAAGATATTTTTTAAAAAATCCTTTCTTACAATGGTCACCGAAGTGTTCCTGTTGTCTAGTAGTTGTGAACATTTTCCTTTTTTTTGGGGGGGGGAGTGTTTCCATTCATTCATTGTTGCACTTTTCTCCCCTCCCAACCCTCCCCCCAGTACACTACCCTCTTGGAAAAGTAAAAAAAAA